ATCGCTTTAGGAGAAGAGACGTGATTAAAGGGGGCGACCCTGTGAATTTGACTGGGTGATTCGAAGGATTTGGAGGGAACGATGGGGGGGCGAAGTTAGTCGATTTCGGGCGATAGGGCTTGATAACTCGGGGTGAAGTGTCGAGAGAAGGGAATAGGGAAGAATTTGTGAATTGTCCAATTGTCTGGTACCGGTGCGACGTCTTCTAGGAAGCAGCTACGACTATGGTGGTACTGTGAGTATTTTCGCACGGTTCATCTTACTTTATCTTATTTTTAAATTAATTAGAGTAGATTAGAGGAAGGATAATAATTGGACAAAATTTTCTTTGAATCGCGTCACGAATGGAAGGAATGGACTCGTCCGCAAATGGAGTTGAGTAATTTGGCTTTATCTGCTTTGTATTCTATTCAACGAGAATATATCGTTTAGCAGTTTGGGAATACATGAAATAATGTAAAGTTGGTTCCTGGTGGTTTAAGTTAAAAATACATTCTGATGTCTTAAATTGGGAGAATTCGAAGAGGCTCGATAACACGATAATTGGAAAAGTTTGGGAGCAGGTGGCGACCATTTCAGCATCGATTTCTCTTCCTGGACGAGAAGCGAGATTTCCCTAGTATCTAATCAGTGGGCGTTCTGCGGGTTTCTCATTGGTGTGTGGGCGTTATCACGGACCCCGATTGGTCGATGGGTATTCTAGAGCTCTCTGCCGCATACATGCGCACCTCAAGGCTCCGAAATCGTGAAACACTTAACTCGCCAATTTTACGACTGATACTTTCTTCAAACTCATAAATATTCCATTTTAAATTTTCTAATTTTCCATTGTTCCTCCAACATATAAATATATCTTCGCAATTTAATAAGACTCGAAGACCTCGTTCTTGGATTTCAAATCATATTCCAACAATTCGTTAGAAAATACTCTGAAGAGATAGTCTCGAATGTACAAATATTCAAAAAACTGGATAAACGAAATTGGAACGAGTACACTCCATCATCGTTTCAAACTTAAATACTCGTCCAAAGTACACAAAATTTGAGAAATAATGTTGCACGTGGAATCGTATTCTCGATATTGAAAAAGAAAATTAGAAACGAAGAAAAAAAAGATAGCGTTGAAATCCAGCCAAGTTAAATTATCCTGATGGAGAATATTTTAAAACAGTCGAAACAGTCGATCCTTGAAAACGGTCGATCGAAGAGGTCCCGAGTCCTCTATTCTTGAAAACCCGATTACGGATGTTGCCGTGGCTCGCTATTGATCACGGCCCAACACCTCGGAGGACAGATTAAACGAATGTCCGCGGGTAAAACGATCTCCCTTTATCTCGAATCTCAAGAACGCTCCCTCCCTCCCTCTGCCTGCCCGCGCCGGTGAACAACTCTTTGAACCCGCTCCCCGTCTCCGCTCTCCTCCTCTCATCCGAGCTACGATCCTTTTATACGGTGGCGGTCGAATGGAAGCTGACAGTTTACCAGGTATTAATTATGCTCGCCCGTCGCCGAGGGTAACTCGCAACCCTCACTTAACTCGAATCCACTTTCCAACTATTTTCTGCACGCCACCCCCGTAATAACAGCCACCACTGATCTCTTTGAGTACTCTTTACATTTCTTTCCAGTAACTCTTGTCTTTTGTCTGTCGAGAATTTTGTGTAAGTTCTTAGTTAAGTTCTAGCTTGATTTTGGATTCGATCGTTTTATTGTTATTCATTCACATTGTTTCATAAGTTTAAAAAAAAAAAATGAAGCTACGTTAATAATGTATTATGGTTCGAAGAGAGGGGGTTGATATAAAATATGCGATCGAAATTCCAAAGTATTTGCAACGACGAAGACGACGACGAATCAAAGCGACAAATTGTCCGACACGGTTCGTGAAAATTGCATCACCGCGATTTATTTTCTGCTCTTTCTTCGCCTCGTTTCTTTGGCAAACCGCGAATCGTTTTTCGCGACGAGGGGGCGCGAGAAATCGCGAAGAATGAAATAGAGGGAGGGGAGAGGTGGCTCGATAAAACTCGATGAACCTCAATGAAACGCGATAGAACCAAACAAAACCGGTCCAGCTGGATTTTTGTAAGTCAGCCAGGTTTTTTTGCCGATTCCCCTTCGAGAGTAAATCGAGAAGAGCAAGGTGCGAAGTAAGAGGAGATAGGCGAGGGGAGGACGACGAAGGGAATTCGAATGCTCCGTTTAGACGCTCCAAATTTTTAAATCATATTCCGTGATCGATCTTCCATTATTCGTCGATGATAGAAAAAAAACTAACTTCGAATTTTCCTTTCAAAACTTCTCCATCGATCGATTAAAGAATATCGCTCTTCAACTTCTTCAACTTTTCGTGTTTGATCTCTCGGTTAAATAACGGTGTAATTGGGAACGATCTTCAAGCGTACAATCGATTCCCATTGATGAATAACGGAACGCGTAATCTTCTGTTAAAATAATCCATGTAAATATTCCATCGTGTAAACATTCTGCCTACGCTATGTGCCTTCCTCGATCGAAGCGAGGAAACGAAGGGAAGATCGAAAGCTTCTTCGGGTCATTGCATCCAATCGCAATGCAATTCTTAATTTTCTCGCCGCCAAAGTACACGCGACGAACTTTAAAATTCTTTTCCTCCTAATTCAACTACAGATCCAACCACGTAAAATCGAAGACACGATTAATCTCTGGATAAATATAAGCTATAGGCGAAGAATCTCAACACCTCTCCTAAACCACCCCACGCGGCTCGTAAACCTAGGAACTCGAGAGAGAAACATCACACGGAACCGACTGCAAATTCTCGTCCTCATCCGCTCGCGCAGAAAACCTCTCTCTCTCTCTCTCTCTCTCTCCCTTCCCGTTCGTATCGAAGTGGCCACAGCCG